GTAACCATGTGAGTATTGGGGGTTATAGAGCTAGAGGAGACCCAGAAACACACACACAGAGTCAATTCTATTTTTAAATTTACTTCATTTCCCCAGAAAACTGAATACAGTGAATGCTTTTTCCAAAGTAATAAATACACGTTCACATTACCTTTGTCAGTCTGTTCGTGGTATTTTCTTTTCAAATTTGTATGAAAATGCTTTTTCCTGAATACATTCCAAACAATATGTTAAAGTACACTTTATCATCTCTCTTACAGGTCTGACCCCCACCCCCTGACCCAAAAAAGATCTATTGTCATAGATAGGTGTTTCCCTCCCAGACGTGTCTATGTAGGTGAGGGTACACAAACATAAACACCTGCACAAACACATGTCTTTTCCAAAAGAGGAATCTCATTATTCATCTTTTGCATCTTGCCTCTCTGCTTACTGTTCTTCTTAAGGTTTATATTTTCATCTTGTTAGTTCTAGTTGTGATGGTTAATTTTATGTGTCAACTCAACTGGCCAGGATGCCCAGATTAAACATGATTCTGGGTGTGTCTGCAAGGGTGTTGCTGGATGAAATTAGTATTTGAATTGGTGTGATCAATAGATTGTCCCCCCCCTCCATGGAGGGGATGCTCATCCAATTTGCTGAAAGCTTGAATAGAACAAAAGCAAAGGGAGGAGGAATTCTCCCCCTTTTGCTTCCTGCTACACTGCCTATTCTTCTGGCCCTCACACTGGGATTTAAACCATCTGCTTCCTGGGTTTTCAGGCCTTTGGACTCAGACTGAATTACACCACCAGCTTTCCTGGGTCTCCAGCTTGCAAACAAAAGAACCGTGGTACCTCTCAGCCTCCGTAACTGCATGAGCCAATTCCTTGTAATGACTCTCCTTTTATATATAAATACATAGCTCACTGTTTCAGTTTCTCTAGAGAACCCTGAATAATAAACTAGTGGGTTATGCATATTTTAACATGTTTATTACATATATATGTATATATATTTATATATATGTATATATTTATATGAATTCTTTGTTGAAATTAGGTTGCCAATCATTTTGTTACTGAGTATGCTTCACAAATCATGGATATTAACCCAGTATGAAGTATAGTTTACAAATGTTTTCTCCTCTGTTTCAACATGACTCTTTATAATGTAAAATAATATGAAAAAGAGTATATTATATATCTATATGTGTAACTGAATCACTTTGCTGTACACCAGAAACTAAAACATTGTAAATCAATTATACTTCAAAAAAATAACATAATTCTTTGTTTTTTTTCCATTTAGAAAAGTATTTTAAATTTCAATAATGTGGCTTAAAAACAATGAAAGTCCTATTAAAAAGCGGGGAAAATGTAACAAGCATGTATTGCCAGCCTGAAGGAAGATTAGAGCATTCAGAGCATCAAGACAAAATGGAAAAAACTTTAGAGTAATTCTAAAGTGAGCTGCTGATTAAGGAGCAACAAAAAGTGTCCTCTGATTTACATAAACTTCCCTGAAGTCAGTACCCTGGTATGAATGTTGGTCATAATGATGGGTAACTTGAAGAGCTGTTGGAATGAAAGGAGATGAAATAGAAAGTACAATTACTTAAAACACTTCCTTACATATCACTTTCCTTCCCTCAAAATCACCTGAGCTTCTGCCTGAGCCTCACTCCCCTCTTCAGGGATCAGCCAACGGATGTGGCCCCGACACCCAGGTCTCTTGAAAGAAGGGGTGGGATTTCATCTCATCTGTCATCTTCATCACCAGAGGAGTTGTGGCCTCATAGGGCCACAATAGTAACGAATGTGATCTGACCACTTCTCCAGCCCTGGAAGCCCACCTTCTGAAAGGGAGGCTGCTCTGTGTCCTCCAGGGAGGGTGAAGGATGGAACCTCATCCCATCCTGCCACTTATCTAGAGAGGTGACTGAGGCTCTGTCAGTCTGACTTGGGCATCTATGATGTGGGACTCGTGATACCTGTGTCACAGAGCATCCTGAGGAGTGAATGAGAAAGCCTGCCCAGAGTATATGACACCTAGTGGGATTTCAAGGGCCCTTTAAAAGTTGTGACACAGCAGTAGAGGCTGGCTGAGCCTTGGGGCTAAGACAGGCACTGTGAAAAGTCATTTCTCATAGATTGTCCTAATGAGAGGGCAGGTATCTTTATACAGGAAACAAATATCTCTCTGATATGCCTTGAGTTCAAAGTTTTGGAGTCAGGACGATCTCTAGGTTCTTGGGAGGCTCAGAAGCTCATAAGAGCTGTCCAACAACGTGCCTCTGAGCAGATCCTAATCCAGTTCCCCACGCTGGGAAGACATGTTCGTCTTTGCTTCATCTGGTGAGCTCAGTGAGAGATGGCACCAGGGCAGCAAGGTGTGGTGTTTGCCTAACTGCTGCTCCTGGACTGTTTGGTATGTTAATATATTTATAGGGAAATTTGGGACCCACTCCATAGTCACCAGTGCAGGGGTCTTCGAAAAAAATCATGCATCATCCAGCTACATCACACGAGGACATCAGCCATCTGCTGCCTCCGTGAGAGGCAAAAATCTAAAAACTTACTACTATTTCTTTGACACACAAGTATTGATCCTTCCATTCACTAATAACTGAATATACATTGTTAAACCCCATACTGTTCCATTGGAGGGGTCTCATTAACTCTACGTTAGAAACAGGAGGGTAAGAGGGGAAACTCAAAGGTAAGATCTGAGATGACATGGCTACTTGACCTTAACTTTTTAAAAAAACATTAAGACTACTTTTTTTAGAATGGTTGTACAATCACAGCAAAAATAACTGGGAGGTACAGAGATTTCCCATATACCCCTGTCCCCATACATGCGTAGCCTCCCCCATTATCAACATCCTCCAGCAGAGTGATATATTTGTTACAATGGATGAACCTGCATGGACACATCATAACCAGGCAAAGTCCACAGTCTACCTTAGGACTCATTCACTGCTGTAAAAGTGCTCTATACTCTGCTTATTCCTCCTCCTCCTCTCTCCTTGAAAATCCTAGCAACCACCGATCTTTTTTTCACTGTTTCCATAGTTTTGCTGTTTTCAGAATGTCATATAGTTGGAATCATACAATATGTAACTTTTTCTTTTTTATTTTATTTTTTTATTGAGGTAACATTGGCTTATAACATTATATAAGTTTCATGCACAACATTATATTTCTACTGCTGTGTACACCACACGGTTCTCACCACCAAAAACTTAGTTTCCAACTGTCACCATACGGTTGATCCCCTTTACATATTTCACCCTCCCCCTCTCTACCTTTGCTGGTTTGGTTTTTTCATTTGTTTATTTTATTCCAAATATGGGTGAAATCATACAGTATTTGTCTTTTATCATATGACTTACTTCACTTATCCTCAAGGTCTATCCATATTGTCATAAATGGCAAGATTTCACTTTTTTATGGCTATGTAGTATTCGTGTGTGTGTGTGTGTGTGTGTGTGTGTGTGTTACATATTCTTTATCCATTCATCCATTGATGGGCGCTTACGTTGTTTCTGTATCTTGGCTATTGTAAACAATGCTGCAATGAACACTATTAGAATGGCTATTATAAAAAAGGTAAGAAATAACAAGTGTTGGCAAAGATGTACAGAAAAAGTAACCCTTATACACTGTTGGTGTATGTTGGAATGTAAACCGGTGCAGCCACTATGGAAAACAGTACGGAGATTCTTCAATAAATTAGAAATAAAACTACCATATGATCCAGCTATCCCACTTCTGCGTATTTATCCAAAGCATATGAAAACACTAATTCAAAAAGGTATTGTAGCCTTTTTCTGGTTGGCTTCTTTCACTTAGTAATATGCATTTAAAGTTTGTCCATGTCTTTCCAAGGCTTGATAGATTATTTCTTTTTAACACTGAATAATATTCCAGTGTATGAATGTACCACAGTTTATTTATCCATTCACCTAATGAAGGACATCTTATTGCTTCCAAGTTTAAGCAATTATAAATAAAGCTGCTATAAACATCTGTGTGGATGTTTTTGTGTGGACATAAGTTTTGAACTCTTTTGGGTAAACACCAAGGAGTGTGATTACTGGACTGTGTGGTAAGAGTATGTTTAGTTTTGTAAGAAACCACCAACCTGTCTTCCAAAGTGGCTGTAACCAATCTGCATTCCCATCAGCAATAAATGAGAGCTCCTTTTGCACCAAATCCTCCCTAGCACTTGGTGTTGCCAGTGTTCTGAATTTTGGCCATTCTAATAAATGTGTAGTGGTATTTCACTGTTGTTTTAATTTATACTTCTCTGATGACATATGATGTGGAGCATCTTTACCTATGCTTATTTGCCATCTGTATATCTTCTTTGATGAGTTGTCTGTTAAGGTCTTTGTCTCATTTTTTAAAATTAGGTTGTTCGTTTTCTTATTGTTGAGTTTTAAGAATTCTTTATAAATTTTGGATGACTGTACTTTATCAGATGTCTTTTGCAATATTTTCTCCCAGTCTTTAACTTGTCTTCTCTTTCTATTGACACTGTTCTTTGCAGAGCAGAATTTTCTAATTTTCATAAATTCTAGCTTATTATTTCTTTCATGGATTGTGTCTTTGCTATTATATCTTAAAAGTCATTGCCATAACCAAGGGTGTCTAGATTTTCTCTTTTATCTTCCAGAAGTTTTATAGTTTTATGTTTCACATTTAGGTCTGTGTTTTGAGTTATTTTTTGTGAAGAGTGTAAAGTGTGTGTCTAGATTCATTTTTTTTTTGCATGTGGATGCCCAGTTGTTTCAGCCCCATGTGTGGTATCTTCACTCCATTCTATTGCCTTTGCTCCTTTGTTGAAGATCAGTTTACTATATTAATATGGGTCTATTTATATGCTCTTTATTCTGTTCCACTGATCTATTTGTTCTTCTGCCAAAACCACACTGTCTTGATTACTATAGCTTTATAATAAGTGTTGAAGTTGGGTAGTGTCAGTCTTCCAACTTTGTTCTTCAATATTGTGTTGGCTATTTTGGGTCTTTTGCCTCTCACTGTAAATTTTAGGATCAATTTTTCAACATCCACAAAATAACTTGCTTGGATTTTAGGAGTACTGCATTGATCCTACAGACCAAGTTGGGAAAAACTGACATCTTGACAATATTGAGTCTTCCTGTCCATGAACTGGAATATCTCTATTTATATAGTTCTTTGATTTCACTCATCAGAGTTTTATAGTTTTCCTCATATAGATCTTATAGATATTTTGTTAGATTTATACCTAAGTACTTCATTTTGGGGGATGCTAATGTAAATGGCATTGTGTTTTCAACTTCAAACTCTACTTTTTTTGCTGGTATATAGGAAAGTGGCATATTAACCTTGTATACTGCAACCTTGCCATAACTGTTTATTTGTTCCAAAGGGGTATTTTTTGTTGTTGTTAATTCTTTTGGATTTTCTACATAGATGATAATGTCATTTGTGAACAAAGACCATCATATTTCTTCCTTCCTAATCTGTATACTTTTATTTCCTCTTCTTTTTATTTAGCTAGAACTTTCGGTATGATGCTGAAAAGGCGTTGTGAGAGAGGACGTCCTTACTTTGTACCTAATTTTAGTGGGGAAACTTTAAGTTTCTCATCATTAGTATGATGCCAGCTATTGGGTTTTGTAGATATTCAATATCGATGTGAGGAATTTCTCCTCTATTACTAGTTTACTGCGAGGTTTTTTTAAAATCATGAATGGGTGATACATTTTATTAAATGCTTTTGTCAAATGTATTGATATGATCATGTGATCAATCTTCCCTTCACAATTCTATTAGTTTTTGCCTCACATTTTTTTGCCTCACACTTTGTTGTTAGGCACATAAACATGAAGGATTGTTATGTATTGCAGAATTGACCTCTCTGATCATTGTGTAATGCCTTTACTTATCTCTGATAACTTACCTTGCTTTGAAGTATGCTCTGTCTGAAATGAAAATAGCTACTCCTGCTTTCTTTTGGTTAGCGTTAGCATGTTAGAATATTCTTTATCCATTTACCTTTAATCTATATGAATCTTTGTATTTAAAGTGGGTTTCTTGTAGACAACATACAGGTAGGTCTTGTTTTCTGAAAAACATTATATTCAACTATTAAACGTGTTTATCCATGAGTAATAGACTTTTAAGGGTTTCTAAGTTTTTTTGTTTACCTTTCCTGCATTTCCCACTTTTATCTACAACAAAAACACCTGAGTTTTGAAGTGAAAAGGATAAAGAGAAAAAATAAATATCCCCAGGTGTTCCATAGGAAAGTGAGTCAGTGTCAGCTGAAGAACATACCTAAACCAAGGGAATTAGTTAATAAGGTGATTATGAAACTAATTCATGAATCTATCCACATGACAGTCCCCATTTAGCAGCTTCAGGGAAAATATAAATGCCTAGGGGAAGGGCAAGCATGTCTCTCAAATAAACCTTATATTCAACAGATGGTCTCCACTTTCCTGGATTTTAGATAAAAGCAGTTTCACAACATTTTTCTTTCTGTACTCTCCCAAATAAATCTCCTTAAATTAAAAGTAGGCTCATCAGCCTAACCTCCCAGTTAGCCAAGCAGTGAATGCCACAGGGGAGGGAAAGGGTGAGGGCCTGCATGAGATGGCCCAGAGCTCAGTTCCACAGCATCCAGAGGGGATAACCCTTAAGTGGTGGGATTCAGGGTTAAAGTTTAGTCACAGGCTCATTCAGAAGCAATCAGGCATATTAAAACACCACTGAATTACCTTTCTTGTGCAATTAAAAACAATAAAAGGAAAGGAAAATATATGCATGGCCAGTACTTGCAATATAAAATCAGATCAAGTTCAAAATAGGATGCATCCTTAAGCCAATCAATGAATATGGGTAATAATACGGACACAGAAGAACTAACTTTCACCAGGATACTACAGATTAGGTTCTGGATACATAGGCTTACATGAGTAATTGTGAATGAAAGCCAGTAAATGAGGCCTGGACAAATGGAAAGATATTTTATATTAAGGATATACTGAGAAATTATTTTGAGCTAGATGGCACTTGGGAAACTAAGACTTTGAAGACATCAGGGAAAAAAAGGCTGAAAATAGTATCTGCAGAATGTGTTAGTGCTCCCTACAGCACATAAACTAAAAAAAAAAGGCTGTGTCCATTTTAGTAGCTCTGCAAGAGAATACACATGGTAAGGAAGGCATATATGGCAGGTCACAGTGTTGAGATGTGAATGTGTATTTGTTCTCCTTATGTTTCTTCCTTCCTCCTTTCCATCAGGTAGCCAGCACCTATAGATATAACCATGCAAGAAAACAGTACCATATTTCACTTAGGGATATAAACATATGTAATAAAACTATATATATGCATTTGTAATAAACTATAAAGAAAAGTCCTAAGTATGAAAAACCCAAAATCTTGATAGTAATTACCTCTGGGGAAGAAGGAGGCTAATATAATCAGAGAAGACTTCAAAGTGAGTTTCAACTGCATATGTAATATTTTATTTCTTAATCTGAGTATATAGAAGTCTGTTATATTATTTTCTATAAATCTATGTATGAAAGATTTATAGCAAGCACTCCTTCTCTGAGCTTTAATTCTACTTTTAATTAAATGATCTATTACTAGCTTAGAAATTGTGGAAAACATTGTCAAGCCCAGAAACAAATATGTAAATAACCTGAAACCTACCACTCAGTGATTTTAAAATGATGTAGGTTATTTCTGCATTTACTCTGGTCATATTCTCCATGTAGACACATATAATGCTTATATATTACATATGGGTTTCATATCTCTGGAGGTTCAATGTTCACTATAAAGATCATGAAATCAGTAATTAAATTTGCCCAGCTGACATCTAACTTTATCTGACATCAAAGCCCATTTTGCTAACCATTGGGATACACAAACGTTTCCTGTGTTACAGATGAGGCCACCATAAGGAAAATGGCTACCATTGGTCTATAGGAAAAGATGGATCTGGTATTTAGGACACAGGTGTCCTAATTTCAGTTTGTTATATGGCAGACCCTTCTTTCTGTTATTTTGTACTTTCTTCTTTCTAGGGCTCAATGGGTGGGTGCTATTCCAGTGTAAAAATGGAAGATAAGAGGAGAAGAGAAGAAAATACGTTTTAAAAAACGAGAGAAGTGATGTCAGCAAAATGGCAGACTAAGAAGCTCCAGGTCCTCATTCACTCACAAAAACATTATAAAAGGTAACTAGAGACTTGATAAAATACTTTATAAGAGATCTGAGAACAGTCAAAGGTCTACAGCCACTAAGTGAACACCCAATCAGAAAAAGGCCACTTTAAAAATGAAACAAAAGGTTTTGAGGCATTTTTACTTACCCTTTCCTTACCACTTGCCCAGTGTGGCAGCAGTTTTGATCTGGAGGAGGTAGCAGCCCAGTTCCCAGTCCCTCCTTCAAACCAGAGGAAGTAGAGTAGACCTTACTTCCAATATTCTAACTTGTCTGAGTGCTGCCTGAAGGACTGCTCTGTTTTTCGTAACTTTGAGCACAGGTGGAAAAGGCGACAGACAGTGCTTATTAAAGCTGCAAGGAGACTATAGGCCTACAGAAAGCTGAGACAAGGATTATAGGTGGAGACAAACAATAGACTATTTAAGGTGCCAAGAAGAATCTGGGGTGAGATTCTTTGATAAATTAAGACATTTAAAAGTAGCCATGTATAAAAGCGAATCGAGAAATTCACACACAGGCCCATGCAACATGCATGTGCAGAGAAAGCCTGAGAAGATCTTAAGCTTTCACTTCGGGCTAATTCCTATAAATAGAGCAAGTTCAGCTCATTGGTAAAGGACTATCCTTGTAGAGAACAAGTCTTCAAAGACTGATAGGGGTAGTTGTTATTTCAAATGTTCACTTTGCAACCAAAAATGACAAAGCATACAAAAAAACAGGAAAATAAAGTCTATTCAAAGGCACAGAATAAACTGATAGAAACATCTCCACCCGAAGAAGCTCTGACGTGGGACTTTCCAGACAGATTTTAAAGCAACTGTCACATATGCTCAAGAACTAAAGGAAAACAGACAAAGAACTAAAGGAAATCAGGAAAAAGAAGTATGAACAAGATAATATCAACAAAGACAGAGATTATTAAAAGGGACCAAATTCTGGACCTGAAAAATCCTTTAATGAAATTGAAAAGTATATTAGAATGGTTCAATCATATATTTGATCAAGCAGAAGAAAGAATCAGTGCATTTGAATATAGGACGTTAGTAAGTATGGAGTCTGAGGAGCAGAAAGAAGAAATAATGAAGAAAAGTGAACAGAGCCTGAAGGACTTAAGGGATGCCCTCAAGAAGACAAAGATACACATCATGAGAGTCACAGAAGAAGAGAGACAGAAAGTGGCAGAAAGATTGTATGAAAAAATAATGACTGAAAACATCCCAAATTTGACAAAGTATGTGAATGTACAAGTAAAAGAGGCTCAACAAACCCCAAGTACAACAAGCACAAACAGTTCCACACCAAGACCCATTAAAACCAAACTGTCAATAGGAAAAGACAGAATCTTTCAAGTAGCAAGAGAAAATCAATTCATCACATACAAAGGATTCTCAATAAGACTGTCGGCTGAAATTTAGAGGCCAGAATGTGGTAGGATAATATATTTAAAGTACTGAAAGAAACAATCTATCAAATAAGAATTCTATACCTGTGAAAACAATCCTTCAAAAATTAGGGTGAAATTAAGGCATTCTCAGATAAACAAGCTGAGAAAATTCATTAGCACTAGACCTGCCCTACAAGAAAGGCTAAAGGGATTCCTTTAAGTTGAAAAGAAAGGACACTAAAAAGGAATCTGTAGCTATATAAAACTATAAAGATCTCCAGTAAAGGTAAAATACATGGGAAAATATAAAAATCAGTATTTTTAAAATTTTGATTTATAAATCCACTTTTAATTTTAAAAGACAAATACATCAAAAATAATAAATCTATTTTAATGGGTACACAATGTATAAAGATGTAATTGGTGATATCACTAACACAAAGTGGGTGGGAGGAGGACACCAGTATAAACCAATTGGACCTAACAAAAATGTATAGAAAACTCCAACCAACAATATCAGCATAACATTGTTCTCAGCTGCACATGGAATATTCTCCAGAATAGACCCTATATGTTGGTTACAAAACTAGTCTTAATAAATTTTAAAAGATTGAAATCATACACATTATCTTTTTAAATCACAATATAACAAAACTGGAAATCAATAACAGAAGAAAAACTGGAAGGTTCACAAATGTATAGAAATTAAACAACATACTCTTGAGCAATCAACGGGGCAAAGAAGAAATCACAAGGGAATTTAGAAAATACCATGAGACAAATATAATCAAGAATAACCAATGCAACAACCAAAACTTATGGGGTACATCAAAGTAGTGTTGAGGTGGAAATGTACAATTGTCAATGCTTACAGGAAAGAGATCTCAAATTAACAACCTAACATTACAATGTAAGGAACTAGAAAAAAGAAGAACAAACTAAATCCAAAGCTAGCAAAAGGAAGAAAATAATAATAAAAAAGAAAGGAAATAATATGTGTCATTTAGAGTGGAGATAAATAAAAATAAAAAGAGAAAAACAAAAGAGAAAAATCAATGAAACCAAAATGATTCTTAGAAAATATCAATAAAATTGACAAATCTTTAGCTACAGTAACTGAGAAGAAAGAACATACACAAATTAATAAATGAAATGGAATGAAAGTGGGAATATTACTAGTGATTTTACAGAAATATAAAGGATATAGGAGAATATAATGAATAATTGTACACCTACAAATTGGAGAACTTGGATGAAATGAAAAAATTCCTAGAAAAACACAGCCTACCAATTGAATCATAAATAAGTAGAAAATCTGAGTACAGTTAAATCTATTAAGGAGATTGAATCAGTAATCAGAAATTGTCCAAGAAATAAAAGTCTTGGATCAGGCAGTTTCAATGGTAAATTCTACCAAAGATTCAAAGATTAAAACTAGTACAGAAATTTTTAATTTTAATTTAGTCCAGGTAATCAATTATTATTTTCATGGATCATGTCTGGTGCTGTATTTAAAAAATCACTGCTAAACCCAAAGTCATCTAGATTGTTTCCTAGGTTATCTTTTTGGGGTTTTGTACTTTTGCATTTCTCATTTAGGTCTATGTAAACTGTTTTGAGTTATTCTTATGAAGAGTGTAAGGTCTGTGTCCAATTTCTTATTTTTTTCACGTGGATATCCAGTTGTTCCAGCATTTATTTTTTGGGGCTTTATTTTTTTTTTCATTTTTTTCTCTGTGATTTATCAGAACATTTTGTGTCTATTTCCCTGTACTATACAGTGTAATCTTGTTTATCTATTCTACAGTTTTGAAATCCCAGTCTATCCCTTCCTACCCTCCACCACCCTGGTAACCACAAGTCTGTATTCTCTGTCCATGAGTCTATTTCTGTCCTGTATTTATTTATTTATTTATTTATTTATTTATTTATTTATTTATTT